TCCTGAACAGCTTAGGGACTTAGGGTCCAACCAAAAAAAAAAGCTCTACAGCCTTAACCCCGACAGGAAGCAGGCCTGCATCGGAACTATCTGGGTTGCATCCCGTGGCACCAAGCCAGCAGAGTCCTGAACGGTTTAGGGTCAATTGGGGTGGCAGCCCAACCCTCGCAAATGAGACCGAAGTGCACGGGTTGGTGGGATTAAGGTTCAAGGTTGCAGTACAGCAAGACCCCAAGGCCACGAGGTAGCAGCAAGCCTGAACCGCAAGAGGTGCCGACGATGGCATTCCAGGCACAGCATCCTGAAGAGGCCGGGATCATGTGTATGGGTGGTTTGAGTTTGCGGGTTGGGTGTTGATTTAAGGTTGTAGCACAGCAAGACCCCGAAGCCACAAGGTAAAAAGCCCAAGTAAAACACCGAACCCATACAATCCCACGCGGACCCCTCTCAAGGCAGCAAGCCTGAATCGCAAGAGGCGCCGACGATGTCTTAGCAGGCCGATCGGTGGTTTACGGGTTGGGTGTGAAGTGAAGGGTTTGTCCTTTGGTCAGGCACGACAAATAGCGAACCCACAGTGACCCGGCATTGCCAGCATCCGTGTACTTAGCTATCCTACCAGGTGGCCTTTTCCTCGGCCAGGACTAGCTGGGCGGAATCGCCTTTCTTCTCTGCCTGCCAGACACAAGTTGACACAATGAGTCAGTCATTGCGTTGCCAGCACTGTCCGATGTGCCCATGTGTCAGATACGTCCACAGCTTTTCTAGGGTAATGCACTCTTCGTCGGGCGTAGGGCGTGCTAGGCTTTGTCCCTGCAGCAATTCTAAACGGAAGCCATCAGAAGCGCTTTCAGCGACGCCGCGATCGGCTTCGAGATCGCATCGCACGGCTTCTAACCTGGGTATCCGGAAGGCTGGATCAAAAGAACAATGCTGAAGACACTTCTTAGAATCGAGCATAAGCCTCCGGAGGCGTCGCTGGGCACGCAGTCTGAGTATATATTCAAACACGCAAGACTCTTGCGGCAAGAAGACCAAACCGGAGGTCCCGGCAAGGCGTCTCGGTGGTGTTGAAGGAACCGCCTAAGGCTTCGCATGGACTCAGCTATCAGCTACAGATCACCCCGAGACAAAGAAGCTTTCATGTGAGCACCAGACAAAAGCCTCTTCAGGAGTTAAAGGAGCTGATGCAACCGCCTAGGGCTTCGCACGGAGACCGAGAAACGGCCCCTGAGCAACAAGATCCGCGCATGCACCCTGGAAGATCTCCACATCGAAGGAGGCGTTCTAGGAACTGGGACCTAAACGGAGCAAGTACAAACACGTGCACCGAAGCAGGAGGTGAACCCCAAACCGAGACATGAGTGAGCAGCCGGAGGCCAAGGAGGCGTCATCGGAGATGACGCCGAGGATGGGACCTGGGTTCAGATAACACACACAAACACTGGACACGAGAGGTGAACCCCAAACAGACGCATGAGTGAGCAGCCGGAGGCCAAGGAGGCGTCATCGGAGATGACGCCGAGGATGGGACCTGGGTTCAGATCACCCACACACATAAACTGGACATGGGAGGTAAACCCCAAACAGACGCATGAGTGAGCAGCCGGAGGCCAAGGAGGCGTCATCGGAGATGACGACGAGGATCGGACCTGGGTTCAGCTCACCCACACACAAACACTGGACACAGGAGGTGAACCCCAAACCGAGGCATGAGTGAGCAGCCGGAGGCCAAGGAGGTGTCATCGGAGACGACGACGAGGATCGGACCTGGGTTCAGATCACCCACACACAAACACTGGACACAGGAGGTGAACCCCAAGCCGAGGCATGAGTGAGCAGCCGGAGGCCAAGGAGGTGTCCTCGGAGATGTGGATGACGATGCGACCTGGATTCAGCAGACACACAAACATAGGACACAGGTGGTGAGCCCCAAACTGAGACATGAGCATCCGGAGGCCAAGAAGGTGTCCTCGGAGATGTCGATGAGGATGCAACCTGGATGCAGCAGACACACACACACACACAAACACTGGACACAGGAGGTGAACCCGAAACTGAGCATCAGCGGCAGCCCGTCGCGGAAGAGGCATCGATGGAGGCCACTCCTGACTGAGCAAGGACTGGAAGGGACTGGAATGGAGTGGAAAAAATCTTAGATATTGTACACTTTCTCAAGGCTTATGGTTGCAGGGATAGCACGAGGTCCAGGCAGAATCTGAGTCACTAGACGAGGACCCCAAGGAATCATGTGGCACCTGGCAAGCAAGGTTGCACACAAACCCAAACACCGAGGCACGCACGCACACACGCACACACACACACACACACACACACACACACACACACACACACACACACACACACACACACACACACACACACACACACACACACACACACACACACACACACACACACACACACACACACACACAACACACACACACACACACACACACACACACACACACACACACACACACACACACACACACACACACACACACACACACACACACACACACACACACACACACACACACACACACACACACACACACACACACACAGAGACAGACACAGAGAGACGCACGGACAAATCGAGCTGCACTGGACGGCCTGTGGACGCATGCCAGGCGGGGTCATGGGTACTGATTCCCCGTCCTTGGACCCGACAGCAAGCACCGGACTTCACAACGAACTACAACAGGGCACTGGGCACAATACGCTCCAGCCTGCAGACTCGTCTGCCTAGCACATAGTGAATGTTCACATCCCTGCTGAGACCGAGCGCTCCTAAGAACCGGGCCCAAGCTGTAGAGGATGATGACGATGAGGAACTCTGGATCTGGGCAAGCCGGTGCAAGTTTGATCGGACCTGCCACCGGTACAAAGAAGCGCCTGCCGAGGAAGCCCGCCTCGATCGTGAAGGCGGGCCTTATCGTGCACTGGTGCCAGGAATTGCCAAGATGTGCTGACACACTAGCCAGAAGCCAAGGAGCAAGGAACCGCCGCAACAACATCAAGACAGCCCTAAACGCATCCATGACTGCTAAAAGCTCGGGTGACCTGGAAAATCCCGCACAAGCCAAACGGCTGCGAGGAAATCAAGCGATGCATCCGGCCAAAGCAATGGTAAGCCCAGAACCATCCCAAACCCCAACCCCCCCCCTGATCCCGAAACCCGAAAAACCCAAAACCACTCCGAAACCTCGAAGCCCCGCAGCACAAAAACGTCGCAAAACCTCATCCCGAAACCCTGCAAAACCCTATGAAACAAAGAATCTCAAAAAGAAACCCAGGCCTCTCCATCCGTTCGACGACGCTTCGAACGACGTGGCCCGCGACGAATAGCCGGATCCTGCAGCAGAAACCCCAGGCTTCAAAGGATGTTGTATGGAAAGTCATGGAATGCCCATCCTGTGCTGGATCGTACGAAATCGACAGCGGGGGATTCTGTGACAAAGCAAAATTCCAGGACACGCAGCAGCAAAAACAAAGATCAAAGCTGTATCCAGCCTTCATGTCGTGATCTTGAGCCCACTGCAAAGCCAGTGGGTACGAGGGCAAAATGCGAAGCGACTTCAAGCTGAGCGGCTCTTCCACGGCATGCCAGTAAACTCAGCTCATGCAACTTTCAATTTCAATTCGCACAAACGCCGAAGTCACCAAAGGATCCTATGTGTGCCTGCAGTCGTGCACGTGCATGCAGCCCCGGAGCAATCGATTCTGCCTTTCTTACCTTCACGACGTTCCAGCTGCCACATGGCTGCGACAGTGCTACCCACGACGTGCCGGCCGTCTGTTGTCTGCATGAAAAGTGGTATGGCAATGCAAGACTCTACACATTTGGAACGTATTGGAGCAGCCCTCCCCCGGGCTGCTCGTGTAGCTGGAATGGTAGTGGGCATGCTGGCCCTCATGTTTCATGCTATCAATGCTTCTCGTGTTGTTGCCGCAGAGCTCGAGGCATGATGCAACATCAGATCAAGCTGAAACACTGGGCAAGCATCGACTCCAAGACACGGACAGTGCTTTGCAACCGTTCAATGCAGCCACGAACGCTGGATACACCACCACCTATTCGAGGGGGTCGTGATATATGCTATGCCAGAACAGCCCACTGGCCAATACATTTCCCAATCCTGCGTCCCTAAGAACACCTAGAATAATGTATTCGATAGTCTCCCGGACCCCCACCCCCGAATACAAAACGAGAGTAGGAGGGATCGTGCGCTGGCGATGCCATAGGCTCCTATACGTCGCGACAGGCATGACCAGCTTTAGTTTAGGGGTTTATGTAGGGGTTTAGGGTGGGGCTCAGGAGCTGTATACAGGGGCCTCAAGAATCAGAACAGGGCTTCGGGGGTACATTGCAGAATAGTTTGCAACAGGAACCCTAAGGCCCTAAGCAACAGTAGAACCACTTCTTCCGAGCTCCCTATTCGGCTTTAGGTTCGGGGTTTGAGGCTTAGGGTTAGGGTCCTAGGGTGTTGGGTTTGGGCTCAAAGCCTTCAACCTTTGAAGTTTACGACTTCTCCTTTTAAAGGTCTGAGGTGTGTAGGGTTTAGGAAGCTCGTCAGTGAAATATCCGACCGTTTGGAACACCACCAGACGAAACCTCCAATACTGCCTTGGTTTTCTACATGTGATGATGCGTTTCCGAACTCGCAGAACGTGGCTTAAATGGCTCCTCGTATTGGACCTGCTGCTCCATACATAGAGCCTCTCCCCACTGTGACGGCGTGATGCACAGCTCGAGACTGCTTGAGTGACAGGAAGAAAACAGCGAACTGCGAAACACCTGTCTTGATGACGATGTCCCCGTCTTGTCCGGTTCTTACATATAGCTAAAAACACTGCAAACATCAATTTTCTGGTTTCTAGGCCCCTCATGCGACCATTTACGAAAGAGTACTACCCCAAACCCCAAACCCTAAACCTTACACCCCAAACCCCCTCTACCCCCATCTTTTCTGAAAAAGCACTAAGCATCCAACTGCACTTCGGATCCTTTCCATTGCTGCCTGTCCTGCCAGCAAGCGCATGGCTCTAGGGCTTAGGGCTTTCACAGGGTTCAGGGTCCAAGGCTCAGGGTTTGGGGTTCGGAGATCTGAAAAAGGATTTCAGGGTTTACGGCATAGGTGGTCGTTTCAGGCTCAGGCCTTGTGTCGCTGTGGGTTCAGGGGCGTTGCCTGCCTTCTGGATGGCTTTAGAGGAAGGGCCGGGGGCTGTCTTATATGGGTGGCTGTCAACATTAGGCTCCCTTTTTGGGTCCTTAATAATATACTACGGCACCTAATATCTACGGTACCCAAAAAGATAATTTTGACAACTACCCAAATTGTCTTCAGCCTGTGAGACCTTTGTTGGGGTTGAGGGTTTAGTTTTAAGGTCAAGCATGAGCCTTTGTTCAACAAAGCCACAACACCAGCAACTGATCCTAAACCCTATACCCCAAACCCTAAACCTTCAAACAATCGCACAGCTTCGTCTGAAGCGGCGTCCGAGAACACTGCAGGTATGCGCGAAGTCTGGGAGTGGACGAAGAGGATTCCTTAATTGAGGAATCGTCCCAAAATCCTATTAGGGATCCTACTATATTGTACGGAATATTCCTTAATGAAGGGATACTGCTGATGGACAAAACCCTGCATGACCCTTAGGACTCTACACTATGTATATTCCTTAAATGGGTAATGCAGGATTTTGTCCATCAGCAGTACTGGAGTCTCTGACGACCCAGTAGTTGAAGCGGGGGTGCAGAGCACAGGGTAAGCAGAGACTCCAATATCCCTGAGTTAAGAAACATATTCCTTAAATCATACTAGGGATCCTACTATAATTTAAGGTATATTCCTTAATTAAGGGATATTGGAGTCTCTGGGTGGCTTTTTGCAAAGATCCCTCGGCGCGTAAAATACGGGAGTTTCCGAAAATTAGGCGTATTTTATTTGGGGGTCAATAGAACAAGGATTCTACTACTTGGGGTACTATACTTGGGTCCCCTATTTTCGGAAACCCCCATGCTTAGCTCACTATCCGTGCGATCTATCAAGAGTGACAATACAAGAGGTCGCAGTCGAAGAAGCCGTAGACTAACATTAAGCAGAATAATCAAGGGAACTAGTAGACAACAGTACGTAGAAGTAGTAGTACATAGAAGAAGAGTTCTTCCGCATTGACACGGCTTACCCGGCTGCAGCTTCGCAAGACAGCTCTAAGCCCATCATGTCACTTACACCACTGCAAACCACGACATAACTTTTTGGAGCCCAAAGTCAGAACTTTTAGGATTTTAGAAACTCAAGGACGCAAGCAAGGTCCTAGTGAAGTAAGCACCCCAAGAAACAGTGACGACCTCCCCTCATATACCGCTCGAAACCTTGCTACATGAACACCTCCAGCTGCGACCACAATGTGTCAGAACCCCCATAAATCTTGATTAACACTCAAACATGTCCTTATGGAGAGTTTCGAGAACCCGTCCATACCCTACGCACCACGAGCCGAGAGAACGCCTAACCCCTATCAAAAAAAAATGAAACCCATAAAGCTTGACAATAGTCACATACCAAGAACCGATTGGACTCTTCGGAAAAACCTCAGAATCCTGCCCCAAAATCCGTAAACTCTTGCCAAACCCCCCCAAACCAACCCTAAACCTAAAATTTTAAACCCTAAACCCTAAAACCCTAAACCCCTAAACTCCTAAACTCCTAAACTCCTAAACTCCTAAACCTTAAGCCTTGAACCCTACCCCCCGGAGCCGGGCACGGCCTTCAGTCATGACGGCGTTCACAGCATGGCCACCGGCAGTGGCCAGCTGCGGCTGCCTCAGAGGACCACCCAGAGACTCCCATATCCGGTTAATTAAGGATATTACTTAAAAAATATTAGGGATCCTACTATAATTGAAGGGATATTCCTTAATTAAGGGATACATCGCCGGGCCGAAAGTTTCGACCCACTTGTGCATCATCTTACATACAAGCTCTTGCGGAGTAGCGGAGTACCTCAAAGTGCCGTTTACCCTACACAGGCCAGCGGAGTAATTACTACGCCGTTTTAAAAATGTAATACTTTTTAGTTCCTTCGGAGGCCCCAAGGCTCACTTGTGTTAGGAGTCTATGGGGAAGAGGGTGGAGGCCCATGTGTTGTAAAGCATGTTGAGGCTAGTGGGTCGAACTATCGGCCCGGCGCAGTATTGGAGTCTCTGGGCACCTGTCCTGCCTGTTCTACGGCTTTGGGGGCGCTAAGGGCTTAGGATTTGCTGTTTGCCATGCCTGGTCTCAAAAGGGCTTACAACGAGGATCTTTCGGGAGTTCTCCATGCGAAGCTCTTGGGGATTCAAGGTTTACTCCCAGAGGTCCACATGTACTACCATTATGGAATTAGGTCCCCAAAACCATAACAGGGATGATCTTTTGGGACCTAACTCCATAATGGTAGTATATGTGTACCCTTAGGGACTGTTTCCTAGTACTTCTTCAGCTTCCAATTACGACCTTGCGGCACCTGATCTCGAACCCCCCCAGGGAGCTGGCGCCGGTGCTGAAGGAGCCGCAAGCCAAACGACTTGTCCTGGCTGCCGCCCATCACACTTGAAGATAAGACTTACGGTTGATGATATAAATCCTGCATGACCCATTATAGGGAATATACAATAATTCCCATAGTTTAGGGTCCTTAAGGTAATGCAGGATTTCTATCATCAACCGTATTAGTGGTATAGGGACTACAGGGGCCTGTGGGATGCTGTTCCTACTAGCTCTTAGGCTTCCCCGGCTCGCCACCCCGTTGCCTTCGCTGAGATTCTTTTTTGGCGGAATGGAAAGCATCTCTTTCTCGGATTCTTGACATGAATCTGGGATCTATGATCCTTGTCTGACGGGCTTCCAGGGCGTCCAGCACTCGCTGTCTCTGGAAACTCCCAAATTAGGGGGGAGGGTCCAATGCAAACTCCGAGGCCAACAACCAGTTGCCGGCGTCGACTGACGCCTGGTCGAGAGCCGCTATGGCCAGTAAGGCCGTAGCCTTTGCCTGCTCGACGGAGCCGGAGTTGATCAAGTCCACAACAGTCGCCAGTGTCCATCCTTGGCGAATCGGCCCTCGCGAAGGACTGCAGGTGCGAGCGGTGCTCTCGATCGTTCGTGGGCTTTCTGGTGCTGATGTCAAAGACGGAAGCCGTGAAACGTTGGCGTTGGTGTGACAATTCCATGTGGCCCTAACTTAGATAGTAACCATGTTGTTCTTGGTTGCCCTCACTCACTTTGTGGCGATTATGTTCACATACTGCACATACTGTATCAAAACCTCCACTTTACGTCACTTTGCCTAAGATGGTCAATGCTGTACCGATTGCTGGTCTTTCTCACGGTCAGCATCACTTTCAGTACTCAGTTGGCGTTTCACACTTCGGTAACAATTTGAGGGTCAAGGCGTTGCTTAGGTCCTGAATTTCCATGTCAGATTCCCTCCGGGGAGCTGTTCAAGAAGGGCCCTCTGCTGTTCAAGGGCTCCGACATTACGATGTGAAGCCCGATTTGAGGCCCTATCTGCTCTGAGGTGTACTCCTTCAACCATACCAAGCAGCCCGTTGCACTCTGTGTGTATCCTGTCATTGCAGACAGGTGCTCGGAAGACAAGCCCCATCATATGGCCAGGCTACGAAACCCCCGTCCAGAAAGCTTTACCTTAACCCCGAAAGCCTACGATGTCCTGCATACATCATATAAGTCCTTGGAAAGCTTCTTGCTTCTTTTTGCGGTGTTCCTACCATCCTCTGATCTGTCGGGTGGCAGGGCGGCGGTACATATGTCATAGCACCCCCCCCCCATACTCCGGACATACGGGCAGCCTGAACCCTGGAACCTTCGAACATACTGTTGATGGACAAAATCCTGCATGACCCTAAGGACTCTAAACTATGGGAACTATGGTCTATTCCTTATAATGGGAGCAGTTTTACGCATGGTTTTAAACCGTTCGCAAAAATGTGAAGGCAAACATGAGGCCACTGGACAAAAAGTCAAGTTTAAACCAATGCAGCCCCAAATACAAGCTGTGACAGACAACAACCGCACAATCAGTCAGCAAAAACCCCAAACAACACAACAACACAAGTACTCATTGGAGCAGCTATACTTCTGGGCCTCGTGTATAAACGTGAATGCTTCAGTTCAGACGGTCCATACATACATAAATACATAGCAATATAACACGTACATATCATACATACAACTATACACATATTATATATATATATATACATATACAGCGTGTGTGTGTGTGTGTGTTGGGGGGTATGGACCGTCTTGGAACCCCAGACCAATCGGGGCGAAACCTCCCGCTGCCACAGTCGCCTGGACAGCAGCCTGCCCACATAACTGTCATTTGGTTCGTTGGAAATGGATACAATTGTACCCCATTCCTCCATTTCCTACTAACCAAAGGTAAGACAAGCGCTGGAGGCGCAGAGGGTAGGGTTAGGGGTTTGGGGTTTCAGGCTTAGGGTTTAGGGTTTAGGGTTTAGGGGGGTTAGGGGTTTGGGGTTTCAGGCCTTAGGGCTTAATATAGGGGCCTTGATAATTTGAACAGGTTTTGGGGCCCATTACATCTCTAAAAATGATAAGGAACCCCGAAATTGTACAGTTAAGGCTCCTATGGTAGGCTTGGGATCCGGGTTTGGGATGTAGGGTTCGGGGATCCTGGGTGCTCATGTGCTTTCAGAAAAGATTTCAAGGATGGTTTGAGGCTTTCGGGTTTCTATACTGAACTTAGAACCCTAGCAAAAGTTATATTTTTAGCTCTTTCTTAGGGATTAGAATAACCAAGAATTAAAAAATATTTATAAGTACCCCTAAGGTTTAGGGTTTAGGATGGTTTGGGAGGTTGGTCTGTCTTGGCTTGGCTTTTAATAGGGGTCGTGTGGTCATTGAGTGTCGTTCTTGGTTAACGCTGTTTTGATAAAGTAAGGGTTCTGAGGGTGTCACAAGGATCGATGGGATTCAGGTCTTTGGGATATATGGGAGTTTCCTATTGTACCCTAAATCGTAGGATCCTTATCATAAGGACCCCCCCAAAATAAGGTATCCCAATCTTGGGAACCTCCCATATGTTCCTTGTTGCGGCTAGGATTTGGGGCTCTTCGTCTTTGGGGGTGCGGGCTCTGGGTGTTTGCGGGTCGAAGTTTAGGGTTTAGGGCAGAGCTGGTGCTTTCAGTGCGGATCACTCGGCTGACTGTCGACGCGGGATTGCGAGGTATTATAGGGGCCTGAATTATTAGAATAGGGTTTTGGGGCCCATTCTACTACAACTAGACTAACAAACCCCCAAAATCGTAGTGGTAGTTCTCTAGGCCCCAACATTTTCCTCATTGGGTCCTAGCTCCTTCTGTACCTTTGGAGAGTTCTCGGGATGCAAAAAATGTAACCCTAAACCCTAAACCCTAAACCAGGCATTTCTCCAGCACGGCTTCAGTTTTCCCTTCTAGCAGCGCCTTGCCGGCAAATGATGATGTCGGCACCAAGAGGGGGGGTCATTCTGTATTAGAGCCTTCGTTGTCTGATATTTTGTAGCACCTCTCAGCAATACGCATGCCCGTGCTATGGCACTTGCGCCACAACTTTACTATGGCGAAGAGGGCTAATGCTTATGGGTTCCAGTGCCAACAACTCATATACTCCACGAAATACTAAACTCATTTAGATATACGATTCTAAATCCAAAGACCTGCCGATAGTTAGGAACTACCTCAGAACACCTCAACCCTAAAGCCGTAAACATCTAAACCCCGAAACCTTAGATCCCTAAACCCCAAGCCCTAACCCCTAAACCCTAACCCCCCCGGAAGTGCACCCAAACTCCGCAGCCATCTCTAGGAAAGTGCGGAGGGGCGAGTTTGCCTAAGGCTCCGTGTGCCTATATAGTATTGATCGCAGCGTTAAAGGGGTTTTTACATGGGTACTTTCAGGCCAAAGAATATATATATATATACTATGCAGGCACGTGGAGCCTTCGGGTTTGCAGTAGAACCACTCGGCGCCAGAAGCCCAGTTCGCTAATGGCTTCAGGGGTATAGGCAGGGTTTGAGGGGTTTAGATTTTGGGAAGTGAGTCAGACAGGTGGTAGGGTGCTCTGTTTTGTCCCTAGATGTCGAACAAAATAATGAACATATCACTGTAGCAGCCCATTGTCTCTACTATTGGAGCTTCGAAACAAAAAGGGACCTTACTACACAGCCTAAATCATGGGGTGCTTCTCGTCAGGACCGCAATAATTCAGATACCACCACATTCTAAGAAACCCTATGCAACTGGGCTTTTGGGGAAAGGTCGTCCTTGAAATCCCGGTGCCAGCCGTCAGCCATGTTCGTGAAGAGCTGAGGGTTTCGGCTTAGGGGTTTAACTTGCGTCCTTCTCGCCATGATCGAAACGTGTCACCTTAACCCTAAACCCTACTGAAACCCTAACCCCTAAGCCCAAAACCTGATGTTCCTCCAAGGGATCTGCTAAAAGCAATATTCAGAGCAACACCACCTCGACTCACACATGCATCTCTCTTGTGGAATACCTTATTCCATAGTGTCATAGTGTATGACCCAAACCACCATTCAACAACACAACTCGTGGTTCGATAACGAGGAGAGTAGGAGCCCACCGCCTTCAGCCCAATATGTTTAAACTACCGTTGATGATATAAATCCTGCATGACCCATAATAAGGACTATACCATAATTCCCATAGTTTAGGGTCCTTAAGGTAATGCAGGATTTGTATCATCAACCGTCGAACATGCCGTCACCACTTTGCCGCAGTCCTCAAAGGTGGGCAGTAAATGCCGTAAGCCTTGGCAGGCAGACCTTCGAGCTATCTTCTCCGAAGCTATACTGAACCTAGAACCCTGGCAAAAATAACAATTTTAGCTATTTCTTGGGGGTTATAATAACCAAAAATGAAAGATTGTTTCTAAGTACCCCTAAAGAAGCACCTTCCCTACTCGACTCTAGCATACCAACCCCAAGAAGATGTCAACCACTCTGGCTCCCCCGGAATTTTTGGAAGTCCGCCAAGAAAACCCAGGTCCCAAACCCAACACTTCCAGAACAGTCGTAGCCGCAGGAACCCTACGTGTCTGAAATATCCTGCTGAGCGCAGCTATCTACAGCAGTATAAGGATGTTTAAGCATTCGCATAAGTTTCGGCACCCTCCTTGCTACTTGAATCAAACGCCTTAGGGTTTAGGCTTTGGGGTACAGAGATAAGGGCTTCCAAGTATCCCCGACTCAACCTATCAGGACCTAGAATTCCACGGGATCCTTGGCAAAAGTATCGTTCGGTATCATTCGAGGAACAGCCTGATTCTAGGATACCCAGTAACCTAAGAATAAAAAGGCCTCTCTTTTTGGTATTGGGTAACTTTATAAGGAACCTAGGACTACAAACAGGGAATATGGGTACTACTGGGTATCCTAGGATTTGTAAACCAGCTACTTCTTGGGGGGGGGGTCATGCCAGGAAAAGCTCTAATCCTTACGAAAGCATGGGAGGCTAAAAATCAAGTCAGTTTTTAAGGCCAAGACAAGCACTTTATGGTCTTCCTGGAGTGTTTCTAGTGGCCATAATATCTGTAGCCATAGAGATAGATCCATCGAGATACAGACAGCCAGACAGATACTTCAGATGTAGGTATAGATAGAAATCCTCAACACTTATTAGGATTCGGGCTTACACAAAAGAACATGCGGCGTTTGCATGGACCCAATGTGACTTTCCGCTGCTGCCGGGATCTCATCCGGACGGCACAGATGCTCATTGTACAGCGAATACCGCGCGCCCAAAGTACAGAGGGCACGGTGTGCCACGAAGCACATGACATCTTTGGGTCCGAAGAATTGCTACACTTGCGCAGAGGCTTTGAGAATTGAGAGACTTCAGCTCTAAACTAAGCCTCCCAAAAGCGCATAAGCATGAGGATTACTCAAGACAGGGCAAGGGTTTCTGGAATCCCCTTCGGCGTCGCTCTTGCCCCAAAGCTAAGGTCTTCATGCATGAGCTCAAATTCCCTTCTCGCAGCCCTAAGAGGCCTCCGGTAGCCCTACACCCCTACACGACAACATCCTCCGATGGGGGCCTCAGAAAACCCTGCATAATTTCTACAATCTGTCAAAGGGCTCGTGGGCATACGATTTCGGGCTTATCGGTTTTGCCACCCAGACGGACAGTACCTGCATACCCTGGTGCAAATAGCAGAGCAATGCCACTAGCTCTTCGAAGTCTAGCATTGCATGTGCCAGTTGAACATCGGCAACTAAGACTCAGTCTTGCCGAGTGCCAAGACCAATGAGTCTGCAGCTTTAATCTAAAGAACTTACACGCTTCCATGTGGGAGTTTCCGAAAATAGGGGACCCTAATTTAGCACCCTAAATAGTAGGATCCTTATTATAAGGACCCCCAAATAAGGTACCCTAATTTTCGGAAACTCCCACGTAGGATCTCCTCTATCGGAGATAAGCTCGGGTGTGCTGGAATTGGGGTCTGCGACCCAGCGCTTACATACGATATGAAGACAGACGGCGGTTGCGGTTTAGGGTTTAGGGCCTGCATAATGTATAGGGTTTTGGAGGTTCCTTGTTATGATTACAGTCTGGTGTACCACTATGTGGTACAAGCCTACTTACTCATGTACTGATTTGCTCCTCATTTCTTCACCTACAGGAATCATGCACTTCTTGTGTATCGCACAGGCGTGCGGTGTAGGGTTTGGCATCTACTGTATAGATCCCCTTATGGTAACCCATTTTAAACCCCCTTAGAGGAAACTAGGAACCCTAAAATAGTCCCCTTTAAAGGTCAAGGAAAGGCCCAGCTGTTGACAGTACGAGATTCTAAGCGTGCGGTGCCTCCTGCACCCGGGCGTGTCGGTCCAAAATATCAGGCAGGGGCAAGGCAGTCTTGGACTCGAATTGTAAGACTCTTTCTAGTTATCCCAAAAACCCTTAACCGTCAATCCCGAAACCTGATCTCTGAATAAACCGTAAACCATAATCCTCAAAACCAAATCCCACGATCTTGCCATGGTAAAGGATTTGAGTCTCAAAGGGCTTAGGGCATTCAGCGCTTGGGGTGCCGGTTTTTCTCAGTCAGGGTTTGGGTATTTAGAGCGTAGGGTCCAGGGGCTGAAGCTTATGACAGCTCGACTCGACTCTAACTCGAAGCCGCAAATTGCCGAAACCGAAACCCCGCACCCCTAACCCAAAAAAACAAATCCAAAAAGACGACTTCTATTTCTCCCAAACTCTGTTTATTGGGGTTTGGGGTTTGGGGGTTCCGGTTAAGGGGTTTAGGTACACTCAAGTCCTGTCGCTGGTTTCAT